GCCCTCTTTTTTTTTTTTTTTTTTTTTTTTGTGGAGAGCTTTTGGCGATAGGGTGCATGTGCTCACCAGAAAGACAGAGAGACACAGAAAGCAAAAAAATCACCCTCCAGGAGGGATGGCCATGCCGCAATCCCTTCTCCTCTGTTCTCCTCCTGGGATCTTGGGCATGCACACACACGTGCCTGTCATGAGTTTACGCCACCAGGTTCAGGACTCAAACCGCAGTTGACTACAAGGGAGTCCAGCGACATAGCCATTAGGCCAACTGCAGGTCCCAAATCAAGCCATTTAATTACTAAGTCTGAGGTTCCATTCCTCAGGTAGTACCTGCCTTTCCCGCTTTATCTATGAAGTCCCATGCACCTGGGGGCTCAGAGGCCGGGCTTAGGCCATTCTGGCTGTTCTCTGGGAGTCTCTAACTTACCAGGCTGTGGCCGTTCTGCAATGACTTCATCCTAAACGTAAAGCACCCCTTTGACTATAAGACCATGGCTCCTTGCAAAAGCAGCAAGTCACTGCAGACAGATGAGAGCTGAGGCTGTGCGCCATCTACCTGCCCCTCTCTTTATTGTTGGCCCAGAGTGAAGCAGGTGTTGGCACCTGTTCACAAGCTGTTTCCTGGCTGTGGAACACAGCAGCAGCCACCACAGGTGGAATGGCTGTTTCTAAGCCAGACGTGTCTTGTCCATTAGAGCCCTCTCAGAAGGGAGAAAACAGCTGCAGGTACCATCCATCATACAACTCCACACACGTCAGTGAGTTGTCGTGAGTTTCAGTTGAAGCTCATGAAAATGTAGTTTTGCCCAAGGTCACGTGGCTGCTATGTGGTACAACTAGAATTTGGACCCAAAGTCCATTCACTGTTTTAATTAATTTGCTCACATAATTAAAAAATTCAACGGGTGGGCTCAGATACAACTGGATCCACACTATCACTCTATAGCTTATAGACCCTAGCTCTCTCCCTGACTCCGTCTCTCCTTTATTATGAGTTGACATCCATTTCACTCTGGCTGTAAGGGTGACAGAGGTAACTGTTAGGCACCTTCAGTCATGTATTCACCCCTCTGGCTGGGAGGTGGGTTCAGTCCCACAGAACTACTTTTAGCTGAACCAAAGAAAGTGATTCCTCGAGAAAAGGAAGCACTCACCACTCCCACCCAGACGTGGGCTCATTATCCATGGCTGCCTCCTCCCAGACTGAAGCCTCTGCAGGAAAGACTGCTTTCTTTTTATTTTATTTTAATTTGCTACAGGGTATGTGCACTCACTGGAGGGAAAAGAAAGCAGCCCTCATAGGAAATGGCCATGCAGCAGTCTCCCCTCCTCCATTTCTCCTTTCCGGATTTTGGGCATGCACACACACAGGCCCGGCATATTTTTCAGACCACTGGGACCAGGCACTCAGGTTGGGCATTTGGGATCCAGCCATCCTGAGAGTTGCTTTTAATGACAGCCTTTCTGAGCCCCAGTTCCCTATCCATAAAATAGGAAATTAGATGACAAAAATCCTCTCCACAGAGCTCTGAAAACTTAATTGGCCTTTCAGAATTTGTTTTTAATTTCTAAGTTTCTTTACATAATAATACGTGTCTGAGTTTGAAATATTAGTAAATTGGAATCTCAGACAGTTGGTCAAGGTAGAAATCTGTTATGACCTGTGTGCCAGTTCATCTTGTAACTAATTACCTGCTCTTATTAGTAAATAATAATACTATTATTACCTAATACTAATAGTAGTGTTATAATAAGTAAATTTAGCACTTTCTTTTCATTCTGTCTCTATTGGAATAACTTGACCTGATTTGTTCACATGTGGAAAAGACGCATATCTTAAGTAAAATAACTTCTCAGAGGTTTGTAAGGAAAATGGAAATTCCTTGAAAATAAAAGTTCTTTGTTCATTTGTCGTATTCTGCCGTAGGACTATACGGAAAGAGTATATCACTGCGAAGTATGTCGATCATAGGTTTTCAAGGAAGACCTGTTCATCCTCATCAGCTAAACTGAACGAATTGCTCGAGGCCATCAAATCCAGGGATTTACTTGCACTAATTCAAGTCTATGCAGAGGGCGTGGAGTTAATGGAACCCCTGCTAGAACCTGGGCAGGTAAGGCCTCATTAAAATCATAAAGTAAAAAGTAATACAGAGTCAGTTTTTTTAAATGACTTTGTTTCTTTTTAATTTGACACGGCACATGCGCTCACAGGAGAGAGGAAAGGAAAGTGAGAAAGCACCCATGGGGGATGGCCATGCTACAATCCCTTCTCCTCCATTCTCCTCGCAGGATTTTGGGCATACGTGCACATGCACCTGGTGTTTTTCAGGTGACTGGGGTTAGACCCAAACCATGCAGTTTGGCCTTTGGGATCCAGCTGCCTTAACCACCTTGCCACCAGCTAGCCCCAAAGACAACTTATTACAGTACCATGTAATGATGTTCTTACTTATTGAGTAACCACGTGTGACTTAAGAGGATTTGAGAGTGAAAAGAGATGCTCTTAGGGCCAGTAGGTGGCATGTTAGTTAAGGCACTGGACTCCCACGTAGCTGACCATGGTTCGAGTTCCAGACCTGGCAACTCGCTCTCTCACTTTCCCTCTTTCTCTTCCCATGTCTCTCTCAGGTCAATTTTAAAAATGGTAATAAATAAAATTAAGTAATTCTTTAGAAAAAAAGAAAGGGGGTGGGCTTGGGACAGCTGATGTAGATGAAGCTGCTTTAGGCCAGTAGGGCATCTGATCGCCTTATACATCTTTACCTTTCTAGGAGCTCGGGGAGACAGCCCTTCACCTTGCAGTCCGAACTGCAGACCAGACATCTCTCCATTTGGTTGACTTCCTTGTACAAAACTGGTATGGCTTTTGTTTCCTCTGCTGAATTACCTAACTGTGCCTTCTGAGTTAAAACAGGTCAGTCCTGTCAGTGGCCTGGATCAGGAGTTGGCAAGTTCTCTTTAACAAGATGAATGATATTACTTCATTGGGAAAGTCATGACATACATATCTGGGTTTTTGTATGTAAAAACTCGTCAGGACTTTCTCGACGACCCAGTATTTTAGGCTTTGCAGGCCATGAGGTCTCATTGCCGCTCTTCATCTCTGCCATTATCGAAAGCAGTCATGCACAGTGTGGAAATGAAGGAGCACTCTGTGCTCCAATAAAACTTGACTTACAAAAACAGGTGTTAGACCTGTAGGCCATAGTTGGCCCACCCCTGGTCTGGATATACTGGATGGTCAGAAACATCACAGTGTGTTTTTGCATAGAAAAGCACAGGAAAATGCCTCATGGCTTTTCTGATGACCCAATGTGTAAAAACCCTATGTCTGCATCCAGAAGCCTGCTACATGAGGAGGGATTGAAAGCAGAAGGCTTAATAGCACGGGTCAGAGAGATCTGTGAGTTGTTGTTTATAGGTTCCATAGCAGCCAGCAGTGGGTGTGTGCGGATGACTAGGTAATTCAGATCAGGGCCGTACCGGCAGTGGAATTCTGTACCCAGGACTTGCTGGAGCCTTTGTTGGGCAGTTCTGTAACCAGAGTAAAAGGAGGAACTGGCACTCACCCGAAGGAGCGAGATCAAAGTCATGAGGGGACTGGAACTCGCATGGGAACAATGGTGCATGGACACAGGACACATTGTATAACTGACCAGGTCTCTCCCTTAGTGAGATTAGGAGAGGACTTCAGAAAGGTCACGGAAAAGTGGAGCAAAAGCTCAAGGGTTTTTGGTGCAAAAAAAAATTTAACTACGTGTATAGTTTTTCATAATGCATGTTGTCCATGGATTTTTAGAACCCCACATAGAGCCTAGTTGAGAGCATTGGCTCCCAAGGCAGGCTGCCGGTGTTCAAATCCCTGATCTGTCACCCCATCCCGATCATTTTGAAAGCAAACACTTCAGCATCTCTGTGTTTTTTCATCTGTAAAATAGAGTTATTGTACCTATCTCATCAAGCGTGTGTGGAAATTAAATGAACTAACACATGTAGAAGTTGAGAGACAGTGTCTGTCCCTTAGCAGGCACTCAGTGAAAGCAGGCTGGTATTATTATGTCACTTATTAACTTAGATATAACATATCATAACTTAGCATTGATAACAATTAGGAATCAATGCAACTCAGTTGTCAGCACAGACCGAAGTGGTTAATCTGCGGTTTAAGTTATCGAATACGTCATAAGTAAGTTTTTCTTACAACACTCTGATTTTTCAGTGGGAACCTGGACAAGCAGACGGCCCTGGGAAATACAGTTCTGCACTACTGTAGCATGTACGGTAAACCCGAGTGTCTGAAGCTGCTTCTCAGGAGCAAACCCACTGTGGACATCGGTAAGGACCAGCCAGCGGTCTCTCAGAAACCATAAGAGCATTGTTTGGTTGACACTGAGACTCGTGTGTTACATTGAGATTTTATTACTGTTTCTTGCCCTGTGGAGATGTATTTCAGATAATGCATCTTTACCTTTCCTCTATTGCAGTTAACCAGGCTGGAGAAACTGCCCTGGACATAGCAAAGAGACTAAAAGCTACTCAGTGCGAAGATCTGGTAAGCAGAACTGGAAGTGGGAGATTTATTAGCTATTAACTGCCTTAAAATACCATTCTGAGGGGCCAGCAGGTGGCATGGTAGAGAAGGCACTAGACTCTCACATGGCCGACCACGTTTGAGTCCTGGACCTGGTGGCTTGCCTTCTCACTTTCCCTCTCTCTCTTGGTCTCTCTCTGGTTGAATTTAAAAAACAGTAACAAATAAAATTAAATAATTCTTTTAAAAAAATACCATTCTGAGAAACTGGAGTTGGAGATAAAAGAAGCAGATTATTTTTTTTAACATTGGCTAAAGAAATTTAGACAAGTATTATGCTACCTTTAGGGAAAAAAATTGCTAAAATGATAAATAGGTCATCCATGGGGCCAGCAGGTGGCATGGTGGTTAAGATGCTGGACTCCCACATGGCCAGCTGCAGTTCAGATCGTGAACCTGGCGGCTTACTTTCTCACTTCCCCTCTCTCTCTCAGGCTCTCTCATGAGGGCACATGCCCGATAGCAAATTTAAAAATAATAATAGTAATAAATAAGTAATTAAATAATTCTTTAGGGACCAGCAGTTAGCGTAATGGCTATGTCGCTGGACTCTCCCGTAGTCAACTGCAGTTCGAGTCCCAGACCCGGTGGCTTAAACTCACGCCGGGTGCGTGTGCATGCATGCCCAAGATCCTGAGAGGAGGAAGGAGGAGAAGGGATTGCAGCATGGCCATCCCCCCTGGGGGATGATTTCTCGCTTTCTATCTCTCTGTCTGTCTGGTGAGCACACGTGCCCTATAGCAAAAACCTCTCCAAAAAAAGAAAAAAAAAAATGTATGTCATCCACCATGTCTCCTGAGAGCGGTTATGACATAGGAGTGGAGCATCTGGGAGGTGTTACTATCAGACAGGCTTGTGACTCGAGGCCATGCTTTTCATTTGCCAGACCCTTAGACTTTGTCTGCAATTTAACAGTGAGGACAAATTATTTGGAAAGCCACTTCTGAAAACTGGACAAGTAGAGCATGACAGTTCTCAAAATGGTTAATACACTGTTAATACACTGCTCTCCTGGCCCCTCCCAATCCCCTTTTTTGACTCCCCTTGTTCTTGTTTAATAACCCCGGGTCTTTGCACCAGCATGATTCTCTTAACCACAGGAAAAGAAAAGAGATAAAGGAGAAGTTACATCCCCGTGAGTTTCTACTAAGCGCCACGTTCCAGGCCTGGCAGTCCTTGCTCCTTTATTCTGAAGGAATACTTTGAGATCGTTATCTCTGCCCCTATTTTACGAATAGAAGGTGGCGACGTGCATTGGACTGGCACTTTAAAGGCCTGCCTCTCAAACTTCACAGACTGATTTTGCCTGCCTTCCAGGAATTTAGAGTCTGGGGGCTCGTTTTAATAATCTAAGAAAGCTGCTTGTTTTGGAGAAAATCAGGGTATCATAAAGTAAGAAAGGCTTGGCCTGTAATTCCTTGCAGCTCCTCTTAAATCTGTCATGTAGCAATCCAGCCTGCCTGCTCAGGTTCACGTATAGGACAGCTACTGATGATTCCTATGAAGGCAGGCATGAGGCAGGATCTGCCCAGGGCTGTGTAACATCAGGGTGTTCCGACGTGTAAATTAAACTATGTCCACTTGCTGCTGCTTCCAGCTTTCCCAGGCTAAATCTGGGAAGTTCAACCCCCACGTGCACGTAGAGTACGAGTGGAATCTTCGACAGGAGGAGATGGACGAAAGCGATGACGATCTGGATGACAAAGTAAGTGTAAACAAAGCTCTCAGATCCCTCAGCACCTTCGCTGTGTTCCCAAGCTCCTCGTTTTGTGAGATTGGTTGACTTAGGCCTGAGAACCTGCTGTACCGGGGCGACGTGCATCACTCAGTCTGCACTGCTTGTTGGGCACCACTTAGCAGCTGTGCTGGGTTTCTCCAGAGAAAGAACCACTAGGAAAGAGAAAAGGAGAAATTTATTTTCAGGAATTGGCTCACATGATTTTCGGACTAGCAAACCCAGAATCTGTGGGGCAGGCCAGCAGGCTGACAGTCCGAAAAGGAGCTATGATATTGTGGCCTGAACGCCAGAAGCCATCAGGAGGCAGAACACTTCCATTCCATTCCATTCCATTCCAAGGGACCTCAGTCTTCTCCCTTAAGCCCGTCACCTCATTGGATGGGCTGTACCCACATTATAGGAGACTAATCCCCTTTATTCAAAATCTACTGAATTAACTGATAAAAATGTAAAACCTGCCTCTGCAGCAATATCTAGACTGCTGTTTGACCAAACTCCAGTTCACCGTAGCCTAGCCAAATTGACACAAAATTAACCTTGAGGGCTGGCTCTGCGGTGCAGTGGTTAGGCTCCATGCAGAGGAAGCAGAGAGGGTTCACGTCCTGGCCCCCAGTGGGTTCATCCAGGACTTCCACATTCACAGCCAGGATCTTGGTGGAATGGAAAATTGAAAGGAAAAGGATTGTGGCAATACCCCCATAGGGGAGGGGAGTGCTTCCTCTTTCTCTCTCTCTCTCCATTCCTCTCTCCCCCTCTCCTCCCTCCCACTTTGTGTGTGCGTGCACACCTGTGGCATAATAATTAAAGGGAGATAAAAAGATTGAGCAGGGACAAGTACTTAATGTAGCACATTACAGTTGTAAAAATATGATTCGGATATTGGCGAAAATGTCCTGCACAGGGAAGCTCCTTGTTAATTAAGTTAGAGCTAACTATGACCTGATCCCGTGGCTGATCCCTATGGTGTGACGCCACAGCTGGGCTCTGAGTTCCCAGTTGCACAGGATTTCTTGGCTCTACAATGGGTTTGTTGGATGTGACCCCATCCTAAGTCGAGGGGCGTCTGGAGCATGATTGCCAATGGTGGCAGGAGAAGTAGAAATAACACGTCTGGGTCCTTCCCTTGGACCCTCCTCATGACGAGGCTCTCTGTGCACAGGCCTGCAGGAACCCAGCTTCCTACCTTGCAGAGGTTCTCTTAGCCTGAGGGGGTGCCTTGATTATTCTCTCACCCACTGTCATCTCATCTGCCAGCCGAGCCCAATCAAGAAAGAGCGCTCACCCAGGCCTCAGAGCTTCTGCCACTCCTCCAGCATCTCCCCCCAGGACAAGCTGGCACTGCCAGGATTCAGCACTCCAAGGGACAAGCAGCGGCTCTCCTACGGAGCCTTCACCAACCAGATCTTTGTCTCAAGCACAGACTCGCCCACGTCACCAACTGCAGAGGCACCCCCGCTGCCCCCCAGAAACGCCGGGAAAGGTAGGGGCTTTGAGAAGGGCTTGGCAACGCCATCCTCAGAGATGGCAGTCTGCCTAGCTTTGAGGTGAGACTGACACGGTGCTGTGAGTGGCAAGGTGTGGGATGTGGTGTCAGCTGGAAAGAGCCTGCCACCTTCAGGTACCCGCAGCAGGATACAGCCAGTGTGCATGTGTCACCTCGCATTACCTGCGACAGTCCTGGTAGGTGCGTGCCTCTGTGCCCACTTCACAGAAGAGGAAACTGGCTTGGCCAAGGTTTCATGGCCGGTAAGTGATGGAACTGAGGTTCAGTCTTCAATTCACACGGCTTCAGACCCAGTGGTCTTTACAATACAGGGTAGAATGTTACTACTTCTCTGAGAAGTTACTTCGGTCTACACCAAAATGACTCTTTTGAAGATGCTGATGTTAAGAGTGGTAGTTCCTAGTTAGGATGCACTCTCCTGCTACGGGGACCTACACCCAGCGCTTCTCATTTAACTGGCTCAGAATGAGGCAGGTGCTACTGGCTTCGTGCCAGCAAGATTCGGGGTGCAGAGTGCTTGGCCTCAGTTCTCAGCCACTTGGGAGTCTGACACCCAGGTCCTGCATAACCAAACCCTAGAGTCCTGTGCTCCGATGAGTTTTTATTCCCCTGAGACTCTGCGTGGGGAGGAATGTTGCCCAGCAGAGAGATGGTATGGCATGTGTCGTGGCCATGTCTGTGGGGCTGACGCCTGTGGCGGATGGTCAGCACCCTGTTCTGTAGCAACAAGGTACTCGTGTGTGCCCTATGCACAGAGTGTGCCCAGCTCAGAAAGTCAGTGTGTTCCCACCTGCACGGGCTAAGTGGGGGCACAGAAATGCCAACATTAAAGGCCACCCCAACCAGAGGAGTCACCGAGGGGTACCAGAGTCGTGACTTCAACTGTGGTCTCTGCCAGCAAACCCAAATGCAGGATTCTCCCCGCATGCCCGGCTCATACCACAAAGGTTTCCAGGGCCTCCTGGTGCACAATGGCGTGCCTATTAGAATCACACTGGGGCTTTTTTCTGGGAAATGTGAGCTTTATTCAAAACAGTGTTTTTTCAGAGCTTATTCTCCATTGACATAGTGTTATAAATGGAAGCTGTGTTCTTAGAGAGACCCCAAATGGCCTCAAAGATCATAAAATAATGGAGGAAAGTTAAAATAAGGCGTTGACATTATAGTTCACATCAGAGATAACCAGTGGCCAGAGGAGATGTAGCTTGTGCACACCGAAGTGTGACTGCCAGTGTTGTCATGCCATTGCGTGTCCGATGCTGTTGCAGAACAAGTGTTTTAAATCACCAGCATGTCAGTGCGGCTGTAGTTGAAGAGTGCTGCTTTCCTGCTTCCCCTCAGGAAATGACAGCCCCACTGGGGTCGCGATCTGATCGGAGCAGCGATTCTTTCTCTGTACCCTAAGGAGAATGGGAGGAACCTCCAGGCTAAATGAAAGAGTGGAAGGAGGGATTCCAGATTAGCTCCCTACCCTGCCTCCGGTTACTGACACAGCAGCAGCCCATCATTCTAGCGAAGAGCTGCACTTGTTCAGAGAGTTCCTGGGTCACTGAGAATCTTGAAGTGGTCTACAGGAAAAACGTCCTGGGGACCTGGAAGCCCCCTTTTCTCCCTCCACCCACTTCAGCTTATCTCAAGGGGACATAGAAACCCATAAAACGTGCCATCTGACTCAGTGCCAGGCGTCTCTCTCCTGCCTTGAATAAATTCTAACCAGCTCATTACCAAAGACCCAGAAGACAAAGACTAAATTTATTTAGTGATCCAGCTGCTGAGACAGATGCCTAGACTTGGCCATAGCAACTCTGGTCAACTAAGGATACACTGCTCACCCCTCCCCAAAATGCCCATAACGGAAGGCAGAGAGCCCTCCTTATCTCCAGTCAGTGTTCTTCCTGGCTGCTCACGGCAAGGTCAGGTTCAGGGAGTTGACCTGTCTGCTGGGGAGACGTAGAGTGCGGCTCTCTCATGACTTTGCTTAGAGACTTGAAACGTGAGCTTACCCTGTGGCCCACATGCCTCACGTTTCCGGCCGTTTGGGAAGTTGGTACTGCTTAGAATGGAGTTCTTACAAGACACTGGTAAGGACCAGCTGGTGCTGGGCACAGAGAGAAGTCTTCTCTGTTTGGTGGCCCCACATTTATTTTATTTAATTCTGTTGAACTGATAGAACCATTTGCGTGGAAACAAGGGAGTCTTGAGTATGTTGTTTGGTTACCGTTACTCCACGGAAGTAAGCAGGGGTCACTGTTTGACATAGAAGTCACTTCCACAGGCGAATGTGGGGATCTGGAGCATGACGTCTTCGGGTGAGGCAGAAACTCACGATAAAGTCCCCACAACTAAAGGAGTAATTCTTCCCACTCTCCACAAGGGGAAGAGTGAGGAGCGTTCTGAATCCAGCTCAGGAACATTTTCAACAAACTCCAGCTGCTTCATCTGAATTCCACTACATTTGACCTAAGATACTCCCAGGATAAGCCCCCACATAAGCAGTGCTCCAGTCAGCATCCCTGAAGAACTCAGCAGTTCCAAATCCTGTACTTGGCATCCAGAAGCCACACACATGAGACCTCTGCTGCCTGACCCCTCATTAGATGCAAGGCCCAGCGAGGCTCAAAGCTGGAAAGTTCATTTGAGCCTGTAGAAGTTGACTCGTGATCAGCAGCTCGCCCCTGCCCCTAACATTAGTGCTTGCTTCTTAAGACAAGAAGGTCTTGGGAACCAGCAGTTAGTGTAATGGCTATGTCGCTGGACGCCCATGTGGTCGACCGTGATTCGCGTCCCGAACCTGGTGGCTTAAAACTCACGCCGGGCGCGTGTGCGTGTGTGCCCAAGATCCCGAGAGGAGAACAGAGGAGAAGGGATTGTGGCTTGGCCATCCCCCCTGGGGGGGGGATTTCTCCCTTTCTGTCTCTATGTCTCTCTCTGTTTGTCTGGCGAGCGCACACACCCTATAGTGAAAATCTCTCCAAAAAAAAAAAAAAAAGACGAGAAGGTCTTCAGGCTTGTCAAGATTGATTTGTTTGGGGATCAGCAGTTAGTGTAATGGCTATGTCGCTGGACGCCCATGTGGTCGACCGTGATTCGCGTCCCGAACCTGGTGGCTTAAAACTCACGCCGGGCGCGTGTGCGTGTGTGCCCAAGATCCCGAGAGGAGAACAGAGGAGAAGGGATTGTGGCTTGGCCATCCCCCCTGGGGGGTGATTTCTCGCTTTCTGTCTCTCTGTCTGTCTGGCAAGCACATGTGCCCTATAGCAAAAACCTCTCCAAAAAAAAAAAAAAAGATTGATTTGTTTTCAATCTTTAAATAAAAGTAATACCGTAGAATGGATTATTTATTTATTTATTTACTTACTTACTTATTTATTTATATATAAAAGCTAGAAGGATACTGAAAAATAAAAGACAGTCTGCAACCCATTGCGCAGATAAAACTGAGCCCCAGACAGTTAAAGAACTTAAGCTTTAGGTCACACTGTGGCTAAAATAGCATGGAAAATCAAAATAGGCCTTAAGACTTACGCCAGATATTCTAGTTTATTTCTTTTTTTTTTTTAATGTATTTATTTCTTCCATGAGTAAGAGAGAGCATCCCCATCAGGGTCTTGATGCCTCAGACCACCCCCAGCCTGTAGCCAACCCAGATCCTGGACAAGCCCACACCAGCGTACTCAGTGAGGTCTCTAAGAACCTTCCTATGTGGGATTGCCTTGTAGAAAGTCGTGTTTTACTGCTGCGCCACCATCTGGCCCCATGGTTTCTTCTTTGAGGAAATGATCCATCTCTGTGTTGCCTGCCTGACAGAGTTGCTGTCGGAATCCAGTAAGACAATCTATGGAGAAGGCATTTTGTGAATCTTGTGCCTCTGTAAGCGACTTCTGTTGAGATTATTGGACTGTGGCTCTAAAAATGATTCTAGAGTGTGGAAGGGTGTGGCGGGTAACACGGTACCGCAGCACCCATCCCACAGAACAGGCTCTTGAAAACATGGCTTGCTTTTGGTTGATTTGACTGATGGAACTATTTTTAAATCATTTTCAGCTATAGACTATAGCTTTCGCCCATTGTACAGTTTCTTACCTTTTATATAGCAGTGACAGAAACTTGCACCTGACGGTCACTGCCTCACGTGAGGCTGGGGAGATTAGATGCGAAGTGTGTGAGCATTCAGCTCAGCACCTGGCTCCTTAGAGGGTACCACTGTGGCATGAGTGCCTTTATGAACCCTCAGGTTTTAAGAAATGTCCTTTGGGGCATCAGGGGCAGAGTGAAGTCACCCAGCTCTGCAGAGTTTAAGGGGAGTCTGAACGGTGACACCCAGCACTTGGTAGGTGTCTGTCTCAAAGAAAGTATTTGTTAAGTAATGATAAATTGATCTTACGTTTATTGAGCTTACTTAAAAGAACCAACTTTTCAAGCTTTTAGAGACGTGAACAACTGGTATGCTAACTACAGCCATTGTTCTCTCTCTATTCATGAAATGGAGCCCCTGAACCGCGCAGCCGCCTGAGTAGCGCATGAATACCAGTGGAACCCTGCATCCACACCCGTGTGCAGTGATGTGGGTTTCCCACTTCAGACGCATGAGCCCTGGAGAGGCGGATTAGCGGACTGTCTCTCCAAAGCAGCACCATGCTTGGTACACCAAGGCTGCCGTGGGTGCCGGCTGATGAAGGCTCCATGCCTCAGGCAGTCGCAGACCAGAGGCTACCCTCCTGTCGGTTTAGGTGAAGAGACTCAGAGCCCCCGTTAATCAGAGGGTATGGTTCGAGAGTAGCAAACTGTCCAAGGCAAGTCAGGCCAGACGCTGGCTCCCTGGGTGCCGTGAACTCCCATGGAGCCTTTCAAGCCTCACTTTCTCCTCTTTCCAAGAAGCCTTTCACTTGCCCCACAGGAGAATGGCTCTTCCCCAGGAGGGCCAGTCCTGCCCCTGTGTTTGTCTCATCTTAATGTTTAGCTGGACTTGCCAAGTG